TTTTTTTTTGCGTTTCGGTTTTCATTTGCTTCCGTTTTGGCGTTGGTTGCCTCATGGGGGTTGGGACGAAAAACCGCGGAATGAAGGGTATGTTTTCTTTTCGAATTTTCTTGGCTTTTTTTTTTTGGAAGTGCGAACAGGGCTTTATCTCCTTTATTGTTTCATAATAGATTTTAGGGAATGTTTCGTCGATCATGTTTTTCAGACAAAGGGCGATGGATGCGTAGGATCGCAACGACCTCTGGTGTTGGACCATCAAAGGTTTCCCCAGGTACTAATACTGGAGGTGAAAGTAGTAATAAGCCAGGAAAAAAGACTCCTGTAGGAAAGTATAGTGGACCTATTCCAGGTGCTACGGGGAAGGATAACATCCCAGGGATATATGCAACCAAAAAACCGCCTACTTACTTTGAAGAACGCTACCCCAGAGGCGAAAAAGAGCTTCCGAGTAAGCGAATAGTGGAGACCAACGAACCAAAAGACCGTTCAGATAGCATCAAAGCCCCTGAATTTGATACTTCACTTGGTAAATTTGAACAGGCACCTTACTTTTCAGGAGGACCCGCTGCTATGCGCTACCAGAATTACGTTCGAGAGCCTGCTAATAAAGAAGGCGTTGACTATCGTGATGTGATTCCACTTCCACCTTTTGAAGATCATCATCCCGATTTTTCGTATGCATCTGCAACTGGTAAGCGTGAGGGGAATACTACGTTGTTGGCGAATACAGTGGTGAACTGGGAGCTGAAAGCAGCCATGATGTCTCTTTATCGGTCTTGCTTAAAGGGTCTCCCCATGGTCAAACATTATTACTGGCTTCTTACACCTTTACCGCAGATGAAAGGAAAAATACGGGAGCGATTTCTTCAAAATCAGCATACAAAGGATCCTGACGCAATCAGGCATCTTCTTCATAACGGTTGGATGGAATATCAAGAGGTTATTCTCTTCCGACGAAGTCGTGCTTCGGTAGCAAAGTTTTTTGAGTGGGACAGTCAAGATGAACTGGTGCGTGGATATACGAAAGAAGAAGGCAAGGCACAAGAGGAGCGTGCTTTTTGGAATGGAGAAGAACAAAGACGAGAAGGCCCATATGACGGACACTGGTCGTGGTTGGGAAAGGAGAGTGAGAAAGAGTTTAACTTGATCGCTGGACGTATTCCAATGTCTTGGACTACCTCCAAAGGCTATTTTGAAAAGGGTCAAGCTGATGGTACCAACTTTTGGGAAAAAAATCTAGATTATGAGGGGTGGTACATCAAAAATGTTGATCCGGATCGTCAAAATGCTCGACGAGAAATGCAGGGGTGGATTGAAAGTGGCTACAATCAACCAAAACACTATGCAAGCAAAAACAGACGCGGATACCGCAGACTTGTAAAAGATATTGAGACTATGATGGAGTCATCAATGGAGGACCTTTATACCAAAAATAGAGAGCAGCTATTTCAGTATCTTATTCGAGAGACCCATCCCGAATCAAATCGCATTAATGCTGAGCGTACTTTGGCAAGACAAGACGATGATTTCTACTCTACTAGATTTGATGAGTACGAGAAGTACCTGAAGCAGGCTATGCGTGAAATGCCCAATCCTCGTCTATGGAAGACTGATGCATTCTATTTTCGGTTGCGGTACTTGGTTGCGCCTCTTGAGTACAACTGGGCAAAGGTTCCAATTGGGGCGGCACAGGAAAAGTTCTACAATGAGTGGATTTCTGATAATGCCAACTATGCGATATTGAACAGCTCCGCATTCTTAGGCATTAAAAAAGACAAAAAGCGAAATCCAATGGCCAATACCTGGGCAGACTTCTACAAGAATTTTGATCCTGATGCCCCTGAAACACGTAAACTGCCATGGTATCATCCGGAATTCAATTATGATCGCCGACACAAATGGGATGAAAGGTGTATGAGGATGAAGCGATGGGTTCAGAGTGGAACTATCGATAGCAAATTACCTTTCTTTGATAGCATTATTGCTGAATGGGAACAATATATAAATCGCCCTGAGCGTTTTCGTGCACCAGACAATGCAGAGCGTTGCTATGGTGCTCCAAGGATGGTTCAGCTTTACCGCTCTCTAAATCGGCTGATGGATGTAGCTTTGACTAACCAAATACGAAGCATTGCAGAGAAGAAATCAGGAAAAAGTACACAGGAACTATCTGCGCTATCGGTGCCAGAGGTTGAAAAAATATTGAGTGCATTGGACCTCAAGTATTTTGAATTCAAAGTACCGGTGATAATTTATCCTGATGAAGCCAAACAAGGAAAACTAGGACTTGATGGCGGTATTGTCGTTGGTGAGCAGGCTTGAGGGCCATAGAAGGGAGTTTTTTGGTGGGTGGGGTTGGGGGAGGGACATGGGGAAGGAAAAGTGGTCGAGCAATGGACGTATATAGGAAATTCCTTTTTTATCTGCTTTTTGTTTTCTTGGAGTTTTTCGTTATTGTAGAATTCTGGGGATGTTATAGTTAGTCTGTGTGTAGCAGTATGCGTTGTGCCGATAAGTATCAATGGGTGTTGGCTTCTAAGGTCGTTTTTGTTCCATACTTTAACTCTACAGATAATTTTTTTTCTCTATATGCATGCTTTTCTCATACTTCATTTTTATAATAGAGTCAAGAAAATGCCCAAAGTTAGGAGTGGTCCGTCCAAGCGCATGAGTTCGAGTCAGCGCCATAAGATCGAGCGAAAAAAGAGGGAACATAAACGCGATCTGCGCAAAGCGGCAAAGGCTCTAAAAAAGTCTGGTCTGGGCCCAAAGAGATCGAAGAAGAGTCGTGAGCTGGCTAAAATGGCGCTGAAGGTATCCAATTCGCACCCAGATAAAGAAGCAATTCTTACTCGAGTTCTTGAGGCGCGCGAGAAGGCTCGGGTTGAGCGGGCAGAGTGTCGTAACAAGAGGTCTGATGAAGAGGACCACGTGGAAGCGGTTTCTGAAGAGGCAAAGACAGTTCGTTCAGTACGGCAGCCAAAGAAGGCTCTTACATATATTCCTGTTCGTGAGTCAAATAATTTTTCGTATCAGTTTAATAAAACTCTTGAGGAGCTTGTTTATCCTCCGCCTGAATCACTGATGGAGCTCCCATCAGCAGCGTATGTGGTAACTCTTGATGCTCGTTGTGCCGTTCAATGTTTACCATTGGGACTACTTGACGCTATTGTCCACGAGAGCAGCATCTACAAGAATAACGGTGGGAAGCGGAAGGTTCTTGTGCTATTTGCTATCACAAAAATTGACCTTATTTCAGCTCCTGCTTTGGTTACTCAGATTTCTCTACTGGCTTATGCCCTTTTTGACCGGTATGTTAAGAGAGCGGATGAAGATGATGAATCGTTGAAACTTGGCGATACCATATCTTTTGCGTTTTGCCCGGTTTCGAATCTTTTTGATAAAACCACAAAACACATTCTCCGTGTACTGAGGCAGTTTCTTTTCAGCGAGGGATGCACACAGTCAAACGAACGGTGTAATCTTGAAGGAAAACTGTGCACTTTTGTTATTGGGCTTCCAAACACAGGGCGCCGAACGTTATGCCGTGCTTTGTTGCAGACGGGCAATGAATCTTGTGTCAGCATAGTTCCTGTTTCTGCAGCTCAAGTGCAATTGATGAACAAAAACAATGGCTGCCAAGAGGATGCGGAGATGAAGTTGGCTTTTCCCAACGCAAAGGAAATTACCTTGTTGCAGTTTCCGGAAGACACTGTTCTGATGCGTGAGCTATCTTCGTTATCAGGATGTGATGTTATTTTCAAGTCGTTTTCGTTTATTGAACGGATTACGGATCCTGAGGTTATTGGATTCATGCTTTTTGCAGCTGCGCTTGATAAAAATAGTCTTGCACAGGGATTCTGCCAGCCTGGAGAAGATTTTGGTGGTTCTTCCGATGAGTCAAAAGTAATGAAGGCGGCAGAGCGTTTCTTTCGTAACCTCGGACATACCGTACGAAGGGAAAAGGGTTTTTATGTTTCTCCATTGTTTGTATCAAATGCAGGAACTATGGGAAAGGTTTCTAGTAGCTCATTGACAGCATCCACCCGGTTTACTTCTCGTCAACAGAGCACACAAACAACTCTTCTTGATGATTCATTTAGCGGTGCTACTCCCAGCAAACTTGTACGGATTTCTTCTGTCGTGACAGCCTCTCGAGGAAAAAAGAAGAGCAATTCAATGCTGAAGCGCCTTGATTCTCATAATGCTATGAAACTTGGTGCTCGTACATTTGTCCGTGAGATATGTCAAGGTAAAAACATTCCTTGGGCAGTAATGCGGCCCCCTACGAAGAAATGCTTAACGAGAGAGGATATTGAGGAAGCGTGTGTGCTTTTTGACATTTCTCTTTGCTCCGGTAAGAGGATTGGAACGTTGAACACGGTTACTAATCAAACCGAGCACCTCGCTGCTCTCTTGGATCAAACAGCTTCTATGTTGAAGCAATATCTGGTTTTCCTGCCGAATAATGTTGTGGAGTTTGATCCGGATTCTATTGTTGCACCGCTTCACGACTTGAATACTAATGCAATAAAAAATGAGGAACATGAAGGAGAATCTATGAATGAGGAGGAGGAGGAGGAGGAGGAATATGAAGAGGAGGAAGAAGAAGTTGAAGAGGATGATGATGATGATGATGAGGAGGAGGAGGATGAAGATGTCTCCAATTAGACACCCTCACAAACAGTGGATAAAACTGTTAAAGACGTTACTAAATCGAATAAAACGTCACTAACGAAATATGACCAGAAAATCTACATGAGGAACAACACTAAAGAGATAGCGAGTGCCTTTTGATGTTATCTATGCTCTATACGAAGCCGTTTCTTTTCTCCACTTTATGAACAATTATGTTCTTTTTTTGCCTTTGTTCTCTTGCTTTTTAAAAAATATTATTTTCTTTTTTTTTCGTTCTGGGGGAAAAATGTCCTCCGGTTTTGACAGGCTGCAGGAAGGATGACGACGGCATTGTTCCCGTCGGAGGACAGGTATGGGCCACGACTTTTCATGTACTTGTCTCATTGCTCCTCGGAAGAAGCAGACCACCCCGCGAATGCGTTACGCTTCCATACCCGCAACTCTGTCGGGTGGCAGTCGGACAAAGGGTGTATATATCCTCAAGAGCTCGGCTTCAGCTTTGAAGGTGAAGTGGATTTGCAATACATTAGAATACTGGCCCACGAGAGCAAAATTGCGTCGCGCATTGAAGTATTTGTTGCAAGTATTACTGAGGAAGAGGTAAAGACGGGTTTGCTAAAGCCATACGAGTCGAGCACATTTCAACGCCTTGGTTATGTGCATTTGTCTACCAATGTGGGGAATAAATTTGGCGCACGGGAGCTGAAGACCATCAATATTCGTCGTCGATGCGTGTATGTCAAGCTTCTGCTTTCAAGGCCCCATCGGTCGGACTACAATGTTTTTAATCAGGTGGGCATTATTGCCTTGGCTAGCCACGGAGTATTTGTTCGCAGTTTTGACGTCAACCGGAAGAAGACACTGTGTCTTGTTGGGGAAAACGTGGAGGTGCCCTTCGAGGAAATGATCCCCCCTGGTGTAAAAGATTGGCAAGCCGCACATCAGGAATGTGAAGGAGGTCCTGACATCGATGCCATAACCGCTCGGCGTATTGCAGAGTTCGTGGCGATGAAGGAACGCGCGGTAGCGGCAGAAGATTATGATCTTGCTGCTGCTTTGAAATCATGTCTTGTATCCTTAGAGAGTACTGGAAAGGAAATTTACAAACTAGAGAAGCAAAAGGCAGCAGCGGTTAAAGAGGAAGATTACACCGTGGCGAAGAAGTTGAAACAGCAAATTGATAGTTTGCGGGAGGAGGCATACAAGATTCCCAAGACATTGTCAAATACAAATAGCGAAGTTGCATTGCCAAGTGGGGCAAACGAAGAAGTGGCAAAACCGGTGCATACGTTGACGCAGGAACCGACATCATCAGAACATAAAGACAAGCAACGTGCGCCTGCAGCAGTGGCCACACCCACTCGATCCGCTATGTTCGACGAAACACCAGTGGGTGGTTGTGGATTCTATGAGCTGGAGAATGCACCAAATCCAACGATGAGCGGCGAGCAGGAAAGTATGAGTGTTGGTAGAGGTGGCAGTAGTGATCCTTCTGCTGTGTTCGATGGAAAACCGAAATGGGAGCAGACGATTAATCGTGTTGTGGTGCGATTCTCTGGTGAACAACCGCTGGCACCTCCCCTCTCTGGGGAAGCGCTCAGTGAGGCCAAAATTACCGAACAAATGTTAGGGACCTACTGCTGCGCTTGTCTGTTTGGAAAGAAAGGTCAGCTTCGTGAAGCTGCCATTCGTGCCATTATTTCCCCTGAGGGGTTTACCGCCCTTTCCAGTCATACACACAACGTAATTGAAGCGCTTTTATCATACATGTCTCTCCCCTTCCGCGGATTTGGTGATGCCGTGGCGGGAGTCGTGCTTGCGTGCTGTGAGGTTCTTAACGCCATTGTAAAAGGTGAAATACAGGATGCTCCTCCAGCTTCTGCGCTGATGCCACAATTGAATCCACTTTTACCCGAGTTGGTGATGCGTTCTGGTGATAGCAACAGTCGGATTCGTGAAATGGTGGAATCGGTTCTCATGTCATTGTCTGATGTAGCGCTTGATGCTGTTGTGTCTGTTCTTCTTGTAGACCACGGCAAGGCGAAAAAACGTCCGACTCCACCAAAAACGCAAGTTGCACGTATGAATTTACTGAGTGCACTAGTAGACCGCTACGGTATTAACGGGACAATATCTATGAACCTTGAGACAGACTCCATTCTCTCCAAGGCTGTTATACCTTGTTTGCAACATCCTATTGGTGAAGTACGGGAGGCTGCGAGCCAGCTTTTCGCTAAACTTTTGCTTCTTGCCCCGAAACGCGCAGCGGTGCACATGGAGGCTCTGAAACCTGCTCAGCAGAATTTAGTAGAGCAACATATGGAGGCCATGAGGGAAACCGCACTGAGAGGGAACTCACGGGGTGGAGTGGAGATAAACGCCGCACATCTTGTTGATCCTACTCCAGCTTTGCGGAGGACTGCCTCCGCTGGGCGGTCTTCCCGTCAGGCAGCTCTGGGTAAAGACGAAGACGATGCGACGAGGACGTGTCAATTCTGTGGTGAGTTTGATGCCGGCTTCACGGAGGCGGCGCTTGATATCCATTATATTCGCATGTGCCCAATGCTTTGTCCGTGCCCCCTCTGCGACCAAGTGACGGAAATCGCCACCCTGCAGCAGCACCTCACTTCTGAGTGTGAGAACCGCCTGTTGGTGCGTGAGTGTCCCATCTGCAAGGAGGCGGTACGGGTCGAAGACATCAAGAGACACGTCGCCGCTAATGCGTGCATTAAGGCGTCACAGACGCACAGCGTGTGTCCGCTGTGTCACGCACGGTTCCAGTCGGGAGCTGTCGGGTGGGTTGCGCACCTGGCCTCGCCGCCTGGGTGCCCGAACAACCCTAGAAGGTACGATGGCTCTGGCCCCATCGTGGAATAGAGAGGGGTTGGCTGAGGATGGTAGTGATAAATGAAATGCACAAAAGTTATTTCTTTTGTTTGGTCTTGTCCTCATTTTCTCATTCGTGTGCGCATATTCTTCCAAGGTGCTGGGGATGAGGAGGTCAGCTGCTTCCTGTCAAGTTTCTTTAGCGGTTCACAGCTTCTTGTACAAAGAGAGAGAGAGAGAGAGAGGTCTGTTCTCATACACTGCTCATCTTTTTTTTTTGTTTTTTTGTTTTTTAATTTACCCTTTTCTTTGTTATCTTCATTGACTCTTATTTTCACTACAAAAAGAATCATTGTTAACTCCACAGCGAGAAGTCTTCTCAAGCACAGCTGCTTCTGAAATAAACGACGAGGACAAACAAAGGGCCTACGTATATACCTCTTCATTGTCGTTTGACTCTATTCAGCTCTGAGTGCCCTGACATATTGCAGGAGGTAAATATGAATCAAACCCGGAATCGCGTGGAGATTGTCCTCAAAAGCCTCTATGCAAGTCCCAATGTGGAGGGTGAGAGTGACACAATCATTGCACTGGCGAATTTAGTCCAGCAAGGCAACGCCTCGTTGGTCCTGGATAACCTAAAGGAGCACATCAAAAATGGAACTCCTGTGGTGCAGGAGCGCAGCATGACAATCCTTGACCAGCTCATGTTGAGTTGCGGCCCTCAGTTTGCTGTTATGCTGTCATCGGAGAAATGGACTGAGCGCCTCTTCAAGACTGCCAAGTCGACTTCCAGCATCGATGTAACGCAAAAAATCATTGCATGTGTTATTGCGTGGTACAAACGTTACCACACCTCCGGTTTCCAGCGATGTATTCATCGCTTCGAACAAAGCAAGGCGTTGGGTGATACATTTAAGCGGGTGCAACAGCAGATGAATGTGGAGCAACGCGTATCGATGCGCAACAGAAACCAAGGTGATTACGAGGGTCCGGAGCACTTGAGCGCACAAAAGGACAGGAATCATATACTTAATCAGTCAGAAGCTCTCCTGTTTGGTGCCCAAGGAGATCTTGCCTCACTTGAGTATGCTCTTGAGCACCCACATGTTCTCCATGACGATGAAATTGCCAAAGAATGCAAACGGCACAAACTCAAATGCATGCGTCTACTTGAGACTGGGCAACATGAGAATATTTCGCAACAACTGATGCAGTTAATCGAGAGCTTTTCAGAGGCACTGGAACTTTATGAGGCCATGACAGGTTGCGACTTGGGCGAGGGCGAGGCGGCGCGCCAGCGTGCGGTTTCTGGAGATGGCGGTGAGATGCCTAAGCTCGACAGCGATGATGAGGAACACGAGCGGCGTCTTCGCGAGCGTGCTGCCTCACGAAAAAATCCGGAGCAGGTTATGCTGCAAGCTCAAGAAGCCACACAGCAGCTGGTCCAGAAGGAACTTAACGAAACGGCACAACTGCGTAGCCAGCTCGAGGAACTCCTCCGCAAGCATGAGGAACTGCAGAACAAGTACAAGGATGCGAAGGCCAAAAACAAGGAAGCTGTGGCTACCCTGGAAGTGTACGCCGATCGCATTGAAACAATGCAGGCGGGAGGCGTCGCTTCCCCGACGAGCCCACTCAAGAGCAAAGAGGTGGACATCACGGTGGCGTCGGCCTCCCCAGATGTGGTACGACAAATGCGGGATGATGTGCAATTCATTCGCCAATCCCTACGTGAGATACGCGAACAACACGCACGCGATATAGGCAAGGAGAGCGCGTACTTCTCATCACAACTTACCAGCGCCATTGCTTCTATTGTTGCTGCGGCACAAAAGGAGCGTCAAGCCGATCACAAGGCATTGCTGTGGACGCAGGAATTGTACAAGAAAGAGATGAAACTCCGCAAACAATACTACAACACAATTCAAGAGCTGAAGGGCAACATTCGTGTTTATTGCCGTGTTCGCCCCATGCTCCCTAAAGAGCTTCAAGATGGACACAAGAATGTTATGGAATTCCCTTCCACAGATGAGCTCAAGTTTGTTGATCAGAACGGCCGACCGAAACTATTTGAGTTCGACGAGGTATACTCACCGGATGCACCGCAATCCAAGGTGTTTGAGGATACCTCGCCGCTGATTGATAGTGTTGTGGATGGCTACAATGTGTGCATTTTCGCATACGGGCAGACAGGAAGCGGTAAAACATTTACCATGGGCGGTGGGGAGGGTGAGTCGAAAGGAATTAACACACGTGCATTGGAGCGCCTGTTTCAGATCATTGAAGAGCGGAGGGAGACAGAGGAGTCCACTGTTTCCCTCTCAGTACTCGAGATCTACTGCGAGCAGATCCGTGATCTTCTTGCTGGCAGAGAAGCTGGAAAACAGGCATACGAGATTAAGCAAGGTGGGCCATTTGGTACGTACGTGACGAATCTTTCTGAAACGATGGTAACCTCCCCGAAGGATATACACAAAATCATGGAACGCGCGAACCGTAACCGCAGTGAAGGGCAAACCAACATGAATGAACATTCGTCTCGCTCGCATATGATTTTGTATATTATTGTTCGAACAACGAACAAACAGACAAAAATGCAGAGTTTTGGAAAACTCTCTTTGGTGGATTTGGCAGGGAGCGAGCGCCTTGAGAAGAGCGGTGCGGAAGGACAACAGCTGAAGGAGGCAGTTTCAATCAACAAGTCATTGTCATCATTGGGGGATGTGATCTCTGGGCTTGCGCAGAACAGCAAGCACATTCCTTTCCGTAATTCCGTATTAACATTCCTCCTGCAAGACTCAATGGCTGGTCAGGCGAAAGTCCTCATGTTCGTGTGCGTGAGTCCTGCGAGCTATAACTCAAGTGAAAGCAGCAGCTCTCTTCAGTTCGCCTCCCGTGCTCGTGGTGTGGAATTTGGGCAGATTAAAAAGAATGCTGCAGTTGCTGCTTGACATTTTTTTCCTTTCACATTGTTCCTGTGATGGTTTCTTTCGCTTGTGCAACTCAGTTGACACGTAGGATGAGTGCTCTTCTCCATTATTGACTTTTGACCGTTCGTGAGGACTGCTGTGCCAAAAACCAAAGCAGATTTGATTCCCACTTTCCCGACATTACGAGGTCACCGTCTCTTTTCGTTAGTGCGGAAGTATGTGTACCCATTGATACAAATCAAACGGTGTTCTTGAAGGGTATTACCTGTTCACTTTGGATTTTGTATGATTGAGGTGGCAGCATCAGTACCAACTTACAGTTTTTTTCCAATCAGCAATGTAGATGAGCTGAGATACATAAAACAAGAAGAAAGTAGGGCATTATTCCGCCATGCCGCACGTTATGGTAACAAAGGAATAAACAATATCCTGCATTATAGGCAACAAGAGATGGAGTCAGGTAAGGGACACGTGTGGGTAGCAAGAAGTGACAGAGTGACGCAGGAAATCATATCTAACAACTCCAACGTTGTTTGGTTACAGTAGCCAAATGCTGCTTTTGGTTGTATTGTATTTTCTGCTTCCACACACGTCAGCGGTATAGCACGTGACGTCGGTCATTCTGGCCTGTGCCCTGTGGCTCTTGACTTCCTTTTCGTATTTTGTCTTTGAAACTGCAATGCGCTAACTCATTGTTTTTTCCGTTCTTCTTGTCCCCCTCTCTGAAAGTGGTCTGGTTTACCCAGACTCAAGGCACCTACGAAACAAGTAAACCAGTAGTACATTGCAGCAGTTGCTAGGTAACAAATAGTGGGGCGAGACCA